GTTATCTGCTTAACAAGCCAAAATCAATAATAATTTCCTTAAGAGCCTAGTTCTCATCAATGTAATGAGCTGTGACAGAAATAAATGACTTATTGTTAGGGGATGTCCATAGATTTGAAGTAAAGAATAATTTGGAACTAATAGTGGAAAGGTATGTCTAAATTACCCAACAAATAAATATGTTATAATTTTTATCATAAACTTATAATTATATAACAATATATAATTTTATTAGTTATGTACTGGTAACTAGTACTCCGTAAAATCAAATCAAATTCAAAGTTTAATTTGATTTTGGGAGTATTATTAGTACTATTGGTAACTACAGAAAACCTATAGAATACTATTGAATGTTTTATCTAACAATTTTTGTGAAATTACCTTTAGTTCCTTTTTTCCTAAGCTATAAAGCATCATGACTGTTTTCTTAATTGTATTAGCCCTAGCCAGTTGTATAGTAGGGTTTAAGTATTGTAAAATCTTAATTAATTCGGGGTCTTCTACTATAGAAAGTGGACGTTGGCAGTTAATGATCCATGTAGCAATCATTTTGCGAAGCTTCATATTATCAACTTCAGTTGATACTATTGTGGAGGTATTTGTAGGGTCTATATAAAATTTTTAATTAGAGTTCAGTCGACTCTCCTTATAATGAACTGGCAATTCTTATAAAAAATTTTTCAAAAGTTTTTATATACCGAACTCTATAATAAAATTTTTTTAAAAAAAAAGCAAAAAGAGGTAAATTGACAAACTTTTCAGAAAACCCATTTTATATAAATCAATTCAGAATAAGATTGGGATTATTTTGCTCAAGATATAGACTCAGTTATATTAATAAAATTTTGCAGTATGGCTCTTTGAAATTTGTATTTTCTTATGATTTATTATAAAAATTTTTTTTTGTCAATTTACCCTTTTTTGTAGCATATAGTACAAATAGATAGATTTATTATAAAAAGGTTTGTCATGTTCAGATTTGACTGTAGTTTAAAATTTGAATAAAAAATAAAAGATTATCTTTTTGATACTTCTTCGACACTGCCACATTCTTTGTACACTCTTTTTTTTTTTTATGATATTCTTCCATAAGGACATACTGTGTCCAATGAGCAGATTCTAGATGTCACCATAAAGGCCAAGTCATACCACCTTTTCTACAAGAATACTTATTATGGGTGCAATTTTGTATATCACATTTAGCCGTTTTTCATTACTTTGTCCACAAAGCTTTTTTAAACTCACTCACTTTACTCCCACAACTTTGTTTACTCAAGATACTACTACTGTTATTATCATCATAACCATTATCATGGTCGTAGTTGTTATCATGGCCGTTGTCATGGTGGTGGTTGTTGTTATGGTCGTTGTAGTGGTCGTGGTCTAATATGGATGAGAAACTCATTGAACCAAAAAGTAATTTTGCCTATAAACTATGTATATCGATATAGAACAGTTGTAAT